CAATTAGAATGTTGGTAAGACTGGAAGCATATGTAATCCACCAAAAATAAATATTATTTATTTTTCAATTTATTCACACATATTAACATAAAACATGAAACAATTATTACAGCTTTAATTTTTTCCAATAGCTTGAATTTAATTATTTTTAAAGATTTTTTTTTTAAAGTTTCAATACATTTGTGGCATCAATTTGTATTATTATTAAAAAATCAGTATGTTTAATCGAAGTAAGATGTTTAATTTCATCATAAAACATCATCTGAAAAACGGACTACTTAAGTAACATTGCAAGTTTTATCAAGGTTTTAAAGAATACTAAAAGTCTAAATCATGGTCCACAGAACCCTCATAAATCCAAAATTGTTACTTGGGTAGTTTTCTGTATTTTAAAGTAATTGTTTTCATACATTTATTCAATTTATTTTTTCCACGATTGTCATCTCAGATTTTCCAGTCCACATAAAAACATCGGTATTATTTTTCGACATCAGCACACAAAAATATAGTTGGAATACCGTTCACATGTATTCGAAAACATCATTGAACTGCTGAAATATTTCAGTGAAACGTTATAGTTAAGTCAGTTAAAACCTAATTTGCAAACATAAGTTGCAAAGCGACTACACCTTCTACCGCTTTTTAAGGTACAATGAAATTTTATGAGAAACTGATGGTATTGCTTGGGTCGCGTGTATCCATTTATGATAGGGCATTTTTTGGGTTTCCATTAGGCGGTCTAAAAAATTCTTTAGGTTAGAAATATGTTTGACTTCCCTGGACATAGAGTTTCATCGTCATTTCATAGTATCATCATAGCACACAATACACAAATGCATGCATTGGTAGGCATAGAAAGCTCTCAATTATTAACTGTGGAAATGCTCCAAGAACATTAAGTTGAGTTCAGGCAAAATCTCGTGTTCTTACACGAACTTTCGCCAGAAAGAAGAAGATCATTTTATGGTGTATGAAAGGGCTAAACACAGCTCTCAAACGTTCAAAATAGTTTAGGGTGTCAGATTGGGGGTTGTTTTCCAGCTATTCATCGCACGCTAGTTCAGAGTAGACACACTCGATCTCCTGTTTCAATTTTGCATTCATCGCTGCGGAATGCAGTTTTCACATTAACTTATAGTGAAACTCCTTAACTCTCAAGCATTCAACATTAATACTCAAGAGTAATTTTTTATAAGAAAGATGCAGTAAATCGCATTTAAAAAAAATACTAATGACTTAATCCCTTCATGGGGGTAACTTGATACCGTTTTGAGAACATACATTTCGATACGCTTTTCAACACACATGAAAACGTCGTATTTACGGTAAACTGTGAGATACGATAATATGTAATAATGCTATCAACCGGATCAAATCGATTGAGAATTCGATGCGATCTGCTTAACAGATATTCGCCACAACACCTAAGTGCTGGAAGTATGGTCAGTAACTACAAAGCGGTGCAGCAGGCATAAGTCATCGTCGAAGTTAGGGAATCAAAAATAACTTTATCATGAAAAAATTCCATAGGACAAACGAGCCAAATAGAAATCGGTGAGCAGAAATTACAAGCAACAAAGATAAAGTTCTATGATAGTTTTTCTACAACAAACCTGGTTGATGACATAATTTGGAATGATATAAAGTGGCGTTCATATGCCACGTGGACAACTTAAGGAAGTAATGGTAGGGGTACGGAGAAGTACAAGCATGTCCACGGAGAGAGGGAGGGGGTATAATCAATGTCCGCTTGGACATGTTAAATCTATTGAATCAAATCTATCACACGACACATCAAATCACGTAAAAATTAAATAACAAAAACACGGTTGTATCAGGTGCCCAGGACCAAATGAATAAATCACAGAAAGATTTCGACTGCCCTTGGGAAAGATACAAAATCAGTGTTGAAGCAAAACCCTATCAAGGTCTTTTAAACAATGGATAGTTTTGACAAAATTTACTCACTAGATGGCGCTAATAATAATAATAATAAAAGTTGATACACAAAAATTACTGACAGTGGCGCCGGTGGTTTAGTGGTAAGCATGATTACCTCTCACCCCAAAAGGACTGAGTTCAATATCAGTCGGCGCTGCCATCGACAAATAAAAAAGTTACAGCTTTTCAATGTGACCTGAGGTCAAATTGACCCCAAGGAACAGACAAAAAGTTGAATCGGCGCACACCTCTAAACGGTGTATACTGCATTGTTGTCAGTACTTAACATTTTCAATACAGCCGAAATATCGTGGTAGAGGCCCGTAAAATAATATACAATATGAAGAACGCTACTGTTTTTTCTACAGAAAAGGGAGGTTGAGTTAACCGAACGACAAAAAATCTACGTTTTCACGAACAACCTAACCCAACAAACAATTTAGATGGTTAAAAGCTGATTAAATCTGCGTTTAGCTGCCTAAGGCAATATTGGCCTGTATAAGCTGTTCATCAGCTAACATTGTTTGTTGGGAAATTTTATACGATAAATTCTAATATTTTCCTATTATTGAAAATTCGGATAATACAGAATGTATTGTAAATCTATTGACAGCAATCGAATGGCCAAGGGAGGTGGCTTCCATACCTGGGTAGATATCGTACCCATCAACAACACATGTGCCGGGACTAACGGGTTTGGAACTAAAAGCATGACCACGCTCGGGAATGTACGCATTTTTTTGCATTTTAGTATGGAATTATACGAGTGAGTGCCCTTCAACTCGGCCTCCTCATTACTTTGATGTTGACAAATTATGAGCACGCGCATTATTTGTATAATAATTATAAGGACTATACAACAACTATACAAAAACTATACAAGTGTGACCGTGGATGTGCGCATAATTTATTGAACAAATAATGCTCTTGTTCATAGTTTGTCATTTAAGTGTATCCGCGGCATTAGTTCTGCGTAACCAATACCTTGCTAAACATTGAACACAGCTAATATGGGAAGATCAAAGCTATTTCAAATTTTGACCTGAAGCGTCACGTGGCTTCATCCAATTTGAGATTATCGCTAGTCGGCTACCTTTTATGACTCGTTCGGTAATTAATATATGTTTTCAGATATCTGATACGAACCTGTTTCAAGGGAGATGCAAACGAAGGTGTTACTTTGCGATATGCATCGTAGTAAGAAAGCTAACAAAAGAAATATGTTGACGCTGAAAAAAAAAAAACGTTATGATGGAGTTCGAAAACGATGAACAGGTTATTAATCAAATTTAACTCCTACATATTAATCACATATCCATTTATAAAGTGTGCCTACAATCAATATAATCTTTAGAGAACCATTCGATAGTGCTGAATAATCGAAAGTTCACTCCGTTTAAATTTTATCGCTCAGTGGCTTTCGGACTCGCATTTCTCTCTGGGAATGTGCAGCCTATAACAGATCAAGCTAACCTACATTATATTTTGCAGCTTTTATGATCAAGAAATAGGCTGAAAACCAAATAGACATTTTTGGCAATAAAATGCACGAAACCTGTTCATATCTTGACTCTTAGTCTCATTTTTTTCAAATCCATTTGAATGTTTTGCATCAACAGTATGCTAGGTGATACAAATTGGCGGTCGTAAAATTGTAATCAACTCAAAAATCAGCCACGGCTACCCTTAGAACGGCCGATCAATCATAAAATGTTTGTGAGCAACTGTAGATCGAACAAAATGACAATCAAACGTGATTTATGAGGGGATCTACATTTAAAAGTCCAAATATTTTAATTATATTGGGTTGAATTTCACTTTTGATATTTGAAAGATAATCGAGAACTCAAAAAATTAGGCTCATTTCATTAGGTTTATTAGGAGGTTAAAGCCAATGTAAAGAAATTTACTATCAAAATCTACGACAATGTGCAATAATAAAAGCAACCCAACGACCAAAACACCTGTTTCAGGTTTTGTAGAAGCTCGCTTGTTGTTCTTGCAATGATTAAATTTTATGTTCATTTTAATGCAGTATGTACTGGTGGCTACACTCAATCATCTTTTAATTAGAGGCCAACGGAACATCCAGGAAGATCAATTATTATCAATGCTCCAGGCAGTAGTGCTGAAAAACGATTCAATTTGGGTACCAAAACATGGAATATGTAGTCCTGTAGTGTTTCGTTGTGCGTGTAAATTTAAACTGGAGCACACCATAAGTGTCTTAATTTGCATATGTAATACAAATTCCCATCATGGAGGGGAATCGTAAACATTTACGATCCGTGTTCAGCTGTTTTGTATGTTAAAATACATGGTTGAATCATCAATTGCAATCCAAATAACCATGTTAAGGGATGATTGAATTGCCTTCATGTGAATATATTATACTTAATCATCTTAGATATGCTATTATATTCGATAATCATTTCAGGGTATTAGCGGAAAAGCGAAAAGCATTGAACTGTAGGCTTTTGAGAACTTTCTTAAACTTCGCCGATTGCAGCACATTCAAATTAAACCATTATCTGGTCCAACTACCTCTAAATCGTTCAACCCGCCATATAAATTAACGAGCATTTGCAACAAGTCGTAATTATCAGTTTACGTTTTGGGAGCAGAAAAAACTTCTGTTCACACGCAGCGCTCTGTTAAATGTTTCCGCTCAAATAAGTTCCCATCATTCATCAAACTATGACAGTCGAACATGGCAGTGGACTAATCTAACAAATTATGCGCCAGTTCAGAGTGCGCTAAAGATTATCCCCTCAATGTGTGGATTAACATTGTGTATTTCATAAATATCTCATTAGTCGACTCACATTGGTGAGGCCATCATTAATCAATTTGTTTACAACATAATCATAGAAACTGTGAATAGAAGAACGTCTTAACAGGTTAACTTGGAAGTACATAATTGACTAATGAGAAATAAGTTCAAACATGTTAATTTGTTATTTATGTATGATTTTGTCTGGTCTGAATAGTAGATCAAAGATGAGGTTAATTTCCTTTGCCCTAACCTGTGTTCTTCATTGTTTCGTTTCATATTCCAGACAATCGTCAAACACTAGCCGCAGAATGTTGGCAGCAGTTCAGCGCCGTCAGTAGCTCTGACCACGCAAAACCAAACAACAAATGAAAGACGCAAAGCGCGAACGCAGAAAAAAGCTATCGTGTCCTAAAACGAGGGTCTGCGTCATGCCAGCAGTGCCCAGAAATTCTCACTTACGGCTATATCAGCTTCATCTTCAGTTTCTTCCCAACCAGAGGAGCCATCCGAAAATCGCATGCGCATGAGGAGCAGCAATCAAAATGCTGAAATCTTTGGCTCTGCCTCGCTACTTCAAGAAAAACAATTATAATATATTAACGCCACAATTAGCGCCAGGCTTGGAACGATCCACATCATCGACTACTTCGAAAAGATCTACATCCTCTACTAGAGCATCCTCGCGATGGTTCCGAGCACGGTTACAATGTTCACCGTTAGCCCGCTGGCATCGAAGGCGGAAAGGTTTTGCGATGTTACCGGACATCACAGCAGCCTCTTTACTGGTCCTCGGATTGCTTATCTGCGGATTGAGTATTCCGTTTTGCCAAGGAACAGCCGTCCCAGTACCAGCGGCCAAATCCAAAGGAACAATTTCAACCTACGGAACACGAACAAGTCTCACGAGAATCGGGGTTGCCGATACAGCAAAAATCGCCAACCTCACACGACAGCACGGCGGTGATCTGTTTTATGCATTTGGTAAGTAGCTTTTTCCTTTTTTGATTGCGTTTCAATGGTATGCCTATCTTTGTCTTCAAAAGCTCTTTTGAAAAATACTTAGCTATTGAAGATCAAAAGTTGTCACCACATGACTATTAAAATTATGATGAATTCAAAATTTCTTCAGACATACAATATATATCCTGAAAAGCTTCTAGTGTAAATTTTTGGAATTGGTCAGCTGGTTCCGGAGATATCGCCGGATCATGTTCCGTTGTCTTGGTACTTTGAACTGAAACGGTTAACACCCATGAAGCGACACATCAAATCACATGAGAATTCGACAAAAAGATCAATAACCGTTAAAGCGGTGCCCAAAATCTGACTTAAGCCATATCTGCTCTTACGATAAATCAAATGTTATATTGGTGAGAAGGGCCGGATCACATTATAGGTGGATTAATTCAGTATTTCTTTTTAATTATTTTTCACCTGCATCATTGCCGTTGAATCCGACTCAAATTTGAGTTCCGTTTAACCAGATTATCTTACAAAAACGAACTTATTACAGTTACAGATATATATTCCCTCAACGATTATCAGTTGCTTTATAGCTATATAAATCTACCTAATTAATTATTTTTGAAACATTTTGGTGTTTAAAAGACCATTTAGTGATTTATTTTTCTATTTTTTTTCCTTAGGTCGCTTTAATGTTCCATTGTTCGATTGTTTTCAAACTATTTTTGTTATACAGGATGACTAGTAATTCGTGTTAGGTGAAAGTAGACCACATTTACTGCAACAAATTGTATTGCAAGATAGGTCGAAAAATCATTCCTTACCAAGTTATTGATTTATTTATTTTTCATTGCTGAGCAACACTACCACTTTTTGCTCGGGTACTCGCGAATATTACCTAAGCCCACCAGGGAGTAAGCATTGCTAGGCTAATATGATCAATTTTTGTTTACTAACCACTCTACTAAATTGACGCTCAGGCTTACTTTCGGATGGATCAGGTTCTAACCATTTAATCTTACATTTACGTTACGGTCATGTAACATTTTTGATTGCTTATGAAAACCCGATCGAAATGAGGCACTTAGAATCAGTAGAAAATTAATTCCTCAATAACTCGGTATGGAACGATTTTTCGACCTACCTTGCAATACAATTTTTTGCTGCAATTGTGATCTACTTTCACCTCCTTTCGGATGAAACACGAATTACCAGTCACCCTGTAATGTGGATTTCAACGATGATGTACTTGGGACCAATAGGCTAGTCAAGAAGCGAGCCAATTTAAAATCGTTAGTTTCCACCGGTTGCTACGACTCCCTCCTTCGGCTCGCAATATTGCTATACAACTCTGGTTGTCCTCGTGTACTATGATCAGCCCGGCAGGCTTCCCATCAACGTCATTCATCAGTTTGTGCACTAAGCATTTGAAGTCGTCCTTCCGGATCATTGGTTCCTCCTCCTTTTGCTGTAGTTTCGGATAACCGGAATCGTCTACGTTTCCTTGTCTACTTGTCCAAATCTTGCAGCAACCGTACGGATGCACGATGCTCCCAGATAAATCATCTTGAAATGCTTCTTTAGAGTTGTCTCAATCCTGTTGTACTCCGTATTGTCCTGGCAAGCAATTAGCATGTCGTCCACGCAGTTCGAATGTCCAACGACCAATCTTCGTCCTCACGAAAAGACAAGACTCTGCTTTGGACGGTTGATACTGAAAACTACCCAAAACCTTGATAATTCTACAATTCCACACGCATCCTGCCTGTTTCAGTCCATACACGTTTTCTATTAGAAGACACACGTCACTCTTCGCATCGGTTTGGAACCCAATGGGCTGTCTCAAGACCCCGTACAGGTTGACTGATTTCTCGCCCACATGCTTGTTTCTAGCGGCGATCGACAGTAGTATGTGGAAGGTGGTATGCTATGCAACGGGGGCAAATAACTCGTCGTAATATGTAACGTATCTCTGGCTGAATCCTTGGACGACAAGTCTGGCCTTGTGGCTTCACCGTTAATATCCAGATTGATATTAAACACCCACTTGCAGCTAACAGGTTTGTGATCGTTGGGCAAATGTATTTGGGTCACGTTGCATTTTCGTGCAAGGACAGGATCTCCTACTCCGCTCTTCCACATGCAGGCAATACATTGCTTGATGGGCTCACAGTCAAAATGGCCATGTCACGGGACCTCTGTGGCTAAATCAATTTGGTCACATGGCTGGATTGGCAAATATTTGATGTACCACCAAATTCCTCCTGTCCCTAGGTAACCTGTGGCAGATTTTGCTCGATGATAGCATTTCTAAGACGGATTGTAACGTCCCAATCATCTTCGTTGTTGGATGTAGGGGTTTCAAATTTACTGAAGTTGGCCTCACTTCGGAGACGGTAGACGTGCTTCAGACACCAGCCCTTTGATCTCCAGTTCTCTGATCGAATGGCTCACGATGTCCAAGAATACGATGCCAAGTATGTAAACAGTCAGGATTATATTTGTTCTCATTCACCAGAAGCACAGCGTGAACTGCCCACAACTTGTACAATCCACCTGACATGGTTGTGCCACCAATCACCTTGTCGTCCTTGAGGATACGACACCCATCCGCCAAACACAAGCGGCTCCCATGGCAGCAAGTTTCTTCACCGCAATTAGATTGGTCCCGAACTACAGGGCGTGCATTACATTCAAGGTAAGAACAGTGCTGTGTTCACCCTCCGGAGACACCCAGATCAGCTTACACGAACCAACTCCTTCCTGTTATCTTCTTGCCGTGCCGTTCTGCTGCAATGCCAAGTACGAAACATCCTGCGTTAAATGGTCCTTGGCCTTGGGATTGTAGCGCTTCTCCTGCCGCTTGTTTGATTTGACCTCGCTGTTACGTTTTTCCACCAAAGATCGGCACTGCTTCTGTTTGTGACCCGGCTTCTGGCCAACCAGCGTCTTCTTCTGCTTCTCAGCATCAGGCTCCTCGTTTGGCCCCTCATTTGTGTCCTTAGTTTAGTGCATTTCGTATTAATCAATAACTTTTGAGTATTCGGATTTGATACAGTTGTCATTCGTGCCTTCATCGCATGGAATCGATTCTAATTGAAAGGTCCCGCTCTTTATACCCTTCGAAGAGTGAGAGCACCCTTCAAAGGCACGCCAATTTGTCAGTCAAAATTGGATTCCTTAGCAAAAAAAATGAAGCAATGACACCGATCATGAAAATGCATCAGAACCCTAGTCTTAACCACTTCAATCTAGGGAACAACGGAAGGAGTTACCAACTAATGTGTAGCTTCCGGCGATAAGCATTTCCTATTCAGTTGAAGGATAACAGTTAGACGCTATTTGTCCATGTTTCAGCTGGCCCAGACAACCAGAAGTCGTATAACAATGTACAGACAGTATCGTAAATTGCTACAGTTTAAGTCAAAATCGCATATAAGAATGGCATATCTCACATTATGTTTAAGTTAAATCGTGTAGAATGCAATTTTTTTACCTATATGCGATGACTCATTTTTCCGTCGTACTGTATCACAAATTAAATCGGATTACATCGTAAAACTTTTCAAAATTAATTTGTTATTACAGATTAAATCGTAAAGGATGTTAAATCAACTCGTTTAAAATTAAATTAAAATATGCACGTATATTGCCTCCACTGCATTCTATACGAATTGTTTGTTTGTATATATGTTTGTATATCACGAAAACAACTTTGAATATACGTGCATTCTGGTTGTCTGGGGGTAGTCTTTAGTGATCATAAATTATATTAGTGATTATAAATTAATTAAGTTCCTGAATCATGAGAAGCATTAAAAATTCCCTGCCTCCTCTGGCTACACCCATGGAATTGTTTTACACACAATGAACAAAAGGATTATTTATAACGAATATTTCGGGATCGGAAGGCTAAGAACATCACAATCATATTCAAATTAATAATTGAAACTTTTAAAAAAAAGTTCAATCAAACACGCCTCCTCCTGTTATCACTTATCAGTATCTGCCCTACAAAACAAATTAAATCTGAAGGACCGACTCTGTTGGTAAACAACAATGTAATTTAACCATTGTTCCGTCCATCATCATGCATATCGTATCAGTATAAATAAACCCCGGTGGTGGAGGACATCACAGAAAATTTGCATTTAGAGCAAAGTTTATCGACGCAATAAATCACTCGAGCGTCGCTCCGGCCGTGATCGTCAAACTTTGCCTCCTCTGTAGTTGTAGTTTTACAAATCTGTCGACCGTCGCGATCCAACCGACAAAGGCCACCAACTTCCAACAGTAGCGCGGGGCCACAGAAGAAATGTAATTAGCATAAAATTTTACACCGAAATTCGTCAACCATGGCTAGAGGGCATTTCGCGGTTAGTTATTATTTTTCTGGTCGACATTTCGGCGTGTCATCTTGACGGTGGTCGCGCTTCCGACTCAACTGGTCACATGTTGTACATCATCTCTCGTGATTGTTTTACGATGATGGTATCTCAACTATCCCGGTGCCACCACACCATGCAGTGGCGGGACGTGTACAACTTAGCCGTCGAGGGCACCGCCGCAATGATGTCTGGAATTTCGGAGCGTGATGTGACAAATGAGGTAACAATTGTCCGCCGATGATGAATATTATGAAGACGATGATAATGATGATGAGGATGGGATGGGACTGATGAAATTCGATTAAAGGGTGATACGGTCAAAATTTGGTCAAGGGAAAACGCGTGTAAATCGGTGAAATCGTTTATTTAAAAAATCAAATTAAATTTCTTTTTCAAGTTCAATTAGTATAAAATTCAGGAAAAATATTCAGTTAGGCTTCCGCTTTTCCAAATCCGAATTGCCGGGCCTTACGCTTGACCCCTGCCATCAGATTTTGTACAGCCACCTTGTCCACCTTCTTCGCCGCAGAAAGCCAGTTTGCCTTGAACTGCTGCTCGCCCTTAGCAGTTTTTTTGGTCTTCTTTAGGTTCCGCTTGACAATAGCCCAGTATTTCTCTATTGGGCGAAGC